GCTTGAAACATAAAAGTCCATGTTTGTTTGCCAGAATCATAAATATTGAATATTTTTATGAAAATAAATAAATGGCAAGTAGCATAGTTAAATATTTAGACTTTCAACTAAACCAACATTTTTCTATAAAACTTCTCGTATATTTTATAAAGAAAAGGGTCATGTATTTAAAAGGATTGAGGGTTTTAACTTTTAAGTTCATATTAAAATTTATAATCTGTTTAGAGTAAAATCTGAAATTGGTGCAAATCGATTTTTAAATGTTCTTTAGACAATTAATATGTATTTTTATTCTAGACATTTTTTATTTCAATAATAACTTTCTATTTATGGCTCAAAACTGTTCCTGTTAGTATTCTGTTGTTTTTTGTAGCGATTACTTTGTAATCAGTACATTTGTTTCAAAGTGAATGTTCAGAGGAAATTACTAATCAAATATGTTTTTTAGTAAAGAGGTATGGATTTGACAATTATATGTAAGAATTTCATTTCTTTTTAACTTTATAAAGTTATAAAAAAGAGAGAACAAACAAAAACATAGCATATACATCAGAAAACACTTTTGGCACTATATGTGCTATTTTGCAGTACTCACTTGTGAACTTCATGATATTAAATGATTTTTACTCATTCTGCTCTAAAATAGCTAATTTTGCTTGCTAGGTTCTTCATTGTTTGCTGTGCATCTATAAGTAAATCTGTTAGTATTGGGAGGAGGGAAGGAAAGAATAGAGGCATATGTGCAGGAGATTGAGGAAGGGACGGAGGGAGGGAGAGAGGGAAGGAAGGAAGGAAGGAAGGAAAGGAAGGAAGGAAGGAGGAAGGGCCTCAATGTTGTCATTACATTACATATTGGCACTCAAAAGGAGATAACTGTACATTTTGTAAGCATGAATAACTGAAAAGCAATTGCTATATATTTTAATACATTTACAGAATTCTGTATTATGAAATAAATGCAACAGACGTGGCTTAGGATTCAGTTTTCTTTTTTCATAAAATAACTTGCATTACTTTTTAGGTGGCTACATATAGAATTCACCCACACACCTGCTTTAAAGACATCTGGTTGCTATCTTGGTGCTTAACTATGTGTTACATCATTGTGTAGCATGTGCCCGATCTTCATTTGACTTCCATTTTTATGCACCTCTTGTATATGAGAATCTAGATTTAGATTAGGCCCATACATTTATTTTAAAAACAAGCAAAAATTATGCCTGACATTTGGAGGAGGGGAAGGGAGCATTTTATTTTTTATTAAAGTATCTCGTTCTGGAGGAAATTATGTCTGCAGTGTATTTGCTCTGACCGGGTCTGATTTAGGTCCTGTTTGCATAAGACAACTGTTGAATATATAATTAGCATAAAGCATAGTTTGATCTTTATCAAATGTTTGTTTCTGTGTATGTTTGTAAGTGTGTGATGTAGTAACCGTTGTAACAAGATCAGGATAAAAGGGATAAAATTAAGATAAGGGAAATATAATATTGGAAGATCATGTTAGATTTGGAAAGAGGAATAATTGGCAATATAGGAAAAATATAGTCAAACTAGGCAAAATTCCTGCAGTGATTGAATAAGGTTTCCATTTGCTCAAATAGTGGAGTTTTTAAATGTGGTAAAGTGGTTTTTATACACATTTGCTGCATTCCAAAGCATATTTTTCTTTAAAGAATGCATGTTGAAATGACTTACAATATCTTTCTGTTTTCACTCTTGAGACTACTTTGAGAATATGTCATTTTGCTGCCAAACTTTAGAAAATTCTTCCAAGTTCTTACTCCTGTATCATATACTTTTAATTGTAGCAACTGTTATGTGCAGCAAAACAATTTTTCTCTGTTTCTTAATGCTTGTGTATGCAAAAAAAAATCTAAAAAAGCAATAATGTATAAATGTATATTGTGTTTGTTTAATTGAGTTTGATTTTTTTTTAATTTGTCTTCATGATATTTGGTGGTTAAGGCTTTCCTTAATAGTAGGAAAAGTTGAATAGAGAAAAGCCCAGCTTCACATTTTACAAAATAAAGTGTCAGATTTTGTTCTCTTCACTTTCTTAGCTCAATTTGGCATTTGTAGAAATAAAGTAACTACTGTATCTTCTACATTCTATATTATCAAAAACAGTGTAAATTGTTTAATATTTTATAGATGCTTGAAGCCTGAAGCACTTTTATCATATCATACAACGTGATATGATAAACTCTTCAAAAAAAGTTAAATTCTTATGCTGACTGGCTTCGTTTGTCAGTTCCCATAAGCATTTGGGTCCTTGACAGTCAATAAAACTATAAAAACAATTCCTCAGGAATAAAACACTTTCTGACCCAGCCAGTAGAAATATGAGATTTCATTCTAAGGGAAAGCCCAATATATACTTTAGTAACTCAGAAAGGAGGGAAAGGTAACTATAGTTACACTTCTTATGTATAGAGAAAGTATTTGCTACAGCTTTTCTTTTTAAAAAGGTATCTTTAGAAATTCTTATCTTTATACTGATTCATTCTATTCCACATTGATAACATCCTGTATTAACCATCCAATTGGCTTTTTTGTATATATTTTTTATATATGCGACAGATTTAATGTAAGATAATGATAACTATTTTTAATATATTTTATTTTTAATAACTAAATAAATGTCTTCTTCTCACAATAAAATAGACTGCAGAAACTACACTACAATTAGGGCAAGTGTTAAACCAGGAATAAAGCACATGCCTTTCCTCTTGAAGATCCTAAATTTTAACTTCTTCCATCATCTCATAGAATAGGAAAGGTTCCTGCTTGAAATCCTTAAAACTACCTGTTGATCAATGTAGATAATATTGAATGGACCAAAGGTCTGAAATTGCTTGTATTCAGCAAGTGGCACATATAAGAAGAAGCCTGCAACATATAAAGAATTAAAGTAGTCTGGTTTCTAATTACAATGTAATATATGTTCAATATTGTAAAAACCTGGCAAAGAGATTAAAAGGATGAAAAATAAAATTATACAACTGGATTGATCCATTAATATTGTTCAGATTTGAGAATATTGACTATCTTCTATGTTCATCACTTTCAATATTTCTGCACAAAAATAATGTATCATTTAACTAATTATTAATGAATTATTTACTTATTTTTAACTTAAGCATTTCTTGATTCTGTATTCTATAAATGTACTTGTTGTGGTTTGTGATGTGTTGCATTTTTGTATGTGATCCCACTGAGTGCTTACAGTATGTACGTGTTTTGCATGTATGCATGGGTTTGTGCACAAATAATAGGGTATATAGAACACATGTTATTTGTGGTTTTTTTAGTTAAAACAGAGCCAATGAGCAGCAGTGAAATTGCTACTACAACAACAGACAGGTCTTTAGAGAATTTCTCAGGATCAGGTAAGAAATAAAATATTTTCACCATATCTAAATGGCTGACTCATAAATAAAACAAATAATGGTTTTAATACTTATTTAACAAGTTGTTTCCATGGCAGAAGATTATATAGCAATAGCAATAATATTTAGACTTATACTCCACTCCATAGTGTGTTACAGCTCTCTGAGCAGTTTACAGAGATAGCATACAGTCCCCAACAATCTGGGTCCTCATTTTACCAACCTTGAAGGATGGAAGTTTAAATCAACCTTGAGCCAGCCAGGATCAAACTCCAGGCTGTGGAGTTTGTGTGTGTGTGTGTGTGTCTTTGTGTGTGTGTATGTTTGTGTATGTAATATATATTTCTTTTTTGGGATCTATAGTAATTGGCTAGGAATAGAGTTTGGAGGTTGTAAATATTCCATGGGGTGATTGCTATAAAAACAGATTTATTACTGGGGATCATTAGGAAAAGAATAAAAAAATAAATCTGCCAGTTTTATAATAGTTTTAAATCATACTGATACACTGACTAACCATTGCAACTGAAAAAGATTAACACAGAACCAGAAAAGTTGCAGAATAGAATTAGAGGCAAGGAAAGTACAAGAAAGGCATGTAGGACATGCATGGTGTATAGTATGAAGAGAATTTCTCACCCTTTCTCATAATATTTTCAGAACAAATAACAGGATTTGTTTTTACATAATGAAGTATATAGCTAAACTCTGGGATCTAATTCTAGAACATGTAATAAGTTTCACCAACATGGACAGCCCTAAACAGATATTAGACAAATTTATAGAAGATAAATATATTAATGACCATTATTTTTAATATAAGTTAGGTCTAGTATAAAGGGCTTTATGTTTCTTAACACCAGTTGCTGATGAGGTAAGGTGGTATTATTTGCTTATCTCATTTAAGAACTTCTCATAAGCATTTATTTATCCATAGTACAGTAGGAGCAGCTTAATTCTGAATCTCCCATGGCAGAAACTGTGAAGTAATCACCTGCCAGTCTAATTCAGTTCATAATACGGAAATAGTTTTCCTGAACCTTTTGATATTCATAGAATAAAGAATAAAATAGTTGAGCTCCAGATATTACAATGAATGACTTCTTCTTGTTAATTTCATGGGTAACAACCAAGCAGCTTGTGTAGTCTGCTGCTTCTGCATATTTTCGGGAACCAAACAATCTTATTCTGAAAATATACTGTTTACATCTTTTCAATATGAATATTCTTACATTTTAAGATTCTGTCAGCACTGAACTTTCTTTGAAGATACCATGTTTAGCATCTTGATATTCTGCATATCTTTCTGAATTTAAGTAGAAAATGTGTAGACTGGACCCATGTTTAATTTTCAGATCTTTACATGTTATTGAAAAGATCCATTGTAACCCTGGGAGGCTACTGTCAAATAATGTGCAATAGAAGTGGAAAATCTCAGATACTGTTTGCTAGGCTTCCAATTCTATTCATTAGTTCTTTGGTAGCAAATGTATGAATAGAGATCCTGCTTGGGAAATTAATTCATCCACTCTCTTGCTATCTCCAAAGTTAGATAGAATATGTAGGAAACTAAAAATGTTGCTACACTCATAACTGAATTGCTCTTTTTAAAAATTGTATTATTTTGTTGCTGTCCAGTCCTCTAAGAATTTCTGCACTGTGTGCCAATCTGTCCATATAAAAAAAACACTTCTGTCAATTTATAATTCAAAGAAAATTTGAGTACGTACTATCAAGCTGGTGTCAGTAAATACATAGATGGACCTTGACCAGGATAATGTGTCTCCAGCTTAGACCTTCAGGTTTTCCAGAGGTGCACTCGTTGCTGGTATAATTGATTGCATCTATCCTGCTACTGATTGCCATCTTCTTCTCTATACTTTCACAGCATTGCAAACTTGATAGGAGAACTGAGTCTCATATAATGTGCCTAAAATAAAGTAATTTGACCCTAGTCATTTGTGCTTTGAACGGGAACCCTGACTGATGAGTTCTATGATCCATCTGAAGATTAAACACAAGAAACATGGCCCTTAGGTGAAAAATACTCCTCAGTTTTGATTTAGAAAGTAATGGATTAAAAATCTGCAGTGATATAAAGAACATCCTGAGTTGTATAAATTTGTTGAAGTCAAGATTTTAAAGATATCATTCATTTACATGAATAAGTGTTTAATTTCAGCTCTAGGTTTTTAGCATGTGAGAGAGAAAAAGGAAGACAGATTGTTAGTTAAAGATAATTAGCTTCTGATTAAAATATCACTCATATAAAATGTAGAGTATTAAGGAAGAGTGAAGTTGAAAGAAAAAAAGTAACTTCAACATTAATTAAATAGAGCCAAGTATGACAGGAGGTAAAAATTATGAATGATCCCTTAGGAGCAATTGAAAAAATGTAATTTGTAATTAAGATACAGGAAGTTGTCATGCTAGTCTGACTTTAATAAACTACTACTTGATATTAGTTTAATTAAATGTCTAAAGTTCTCTAAAAATAATATTTAGATTAGATATGTTCTATGTATGTGCTTACACTTCCATGTGCTTCCCCCCCCCCTTCCCTATAGCAATTGGGAGCAGTGGCTTCAGCCCAAGACAAACTCACCAGTTTTCTTCACCTCAGCTATATCCTTCCAAGTAAGATATCTTTACTTTAAATTGAAAAAGAAAAGTTATACCCAGCTTTTTATCGCTGTGATTGACTCCATCTGTTAAATTGTAGTTAAAATCAGTTTACTATTGCAAAAGAATGAACTTCAAAATAACAAAATAAATCTTTAGTTATAGAACTATATTAATATACTTTCATATATCACTAAAATGTTTAGATAATATTTTACCAATATATCATTCTGTTATTTTAATGCAAAGATTTGTTTTCTATTTTCTATCATTTTTGCATGTAACAGCAGACCATACCCACATATTCTCCCTACCCCTTCTTCGCAAACTATGGCTGCATATGGGCAGACACAGTTTACCACCGGAATGCAACAAGCTTCTACTTATTCAGCATACCCACAGCCTGGTCAACACTATGGAATCCCATCATATGGTGAGTGAAACAGGAAAATGGCAACAGGTATCCCTATTACAGAGGGATAAGCAAGAATGTTATTTAACCAGCTGACAGAATTTGCAAATATTATTTTAAAAGTGCAAAAAGAACTTGACATTAAAAATATAACTGTAAAACTTTAAAAAGATTTTAGTTAGGCTTGAGTATTTTAAATCTATACATTGAATCAAGTTATGGTGCTAAATTGAAGTAATCACTAAAGCTGTGTACATTGTTCGAAAGAAGTTGTTTGGAAGAAACAGGTGCAAATACATGCATTTTTGAATTGTTAAAGCAGCTGCATCTTTTTCTAGGAAGTTGATGCCAGTCCTTTTTGCATATATAGAGATAGGTAGCATAGGACATCCCAGTTGTGCAAACCTATCAAAAGATGCAACTGTTTTAACATTTTAACATTTTCTGAAAGGTTTATATAACCCCAATTCTATTTGTTTAGATGTGAATTTATAATTTGCTACAGCCAGGCTGTGCTAAATGGTAAATAAAAGCCACACTCAATGCAAGAACATCAGAATATGCAATAATAGAAGTTACAAAGTATAATATATATACTATTCCTGTACCAAGTTGCTACCTCTTTTCTAAATAGCTTACTAAAATTCAGATTTCTTTTTTAAAATGATAGAAAGATTTTGAGATTTTAAAATGTAATAAATGCAGAACAGATTTTTCCTAGTTAATCTTGAACTGCAAACTTTCTTTGCAGCTGACCACCAATAGTGGGCACAGGCTTTAACAGCTTTACTTAAGCATCATTACTTATCTCAATTAATTGGAATTGATCTATGACCTAAATATACTGAAAGACTGCTGAGTCACATAAAATACCTTGGATAATAAATATCACCAATGGCTATAGATATATTACTTCTGGATGAAAACAAATTTTATACAGTACAATAGTCAAACAAATAAAAGTGGGGTTATTTTTAATACAAAATAAGACCAGTGTAACCACTCTTAAATCTTAATTACATACATATCAGCCTACTTTGGAGTACCTTAGTGTGGTGCATTTTTGAATGGATTCTTTTCATTCCCCCATTATGTAATATAGTATTGCTAAATGCGGAATATTAATAGAGATGATTGAAGTCTATAGCATTCTGATCTATAATGTTTCCACAGTATTTTTTCTTTATATCCTTGCTTCCACATATTTAATGGACCTTCGTTTTATTTATATTAGGGTTCAATATGCATATATAGATCCTCATAATTCTCATTACTATCATTACCAAAATTTAATAATATCATTTATATTTTTTTGTTCTAAAGATAAAGAAGAGAGTAAAATATTAGGAAACTCTTTTAAAATAAAGCCATCCCATAGACTAACAGGATCATATAACGATTTACACCAGTGCTGTATGTAATATTTCCATAATGTCAGCTTTCCTTTTTCAATAAACCTCAAGGAGAAAATGATTAGCATTGAAGAAGGTCTTAGCTTTCAGGCCTATTCGTAACACAAAAATAGCTCATGTATAGCTTGAAACAATATTGGCATGATCCACTTGATGAGCTTCCTCTGTATGTCAAGTCATTATATTTATTTACTCCAAATAGATTGTTTTTGCAATGTAATACAATGACTTGTGGTATGGAAACCAACCACAAAGTGAAAGTCATGTACAAGGCTGCAATACGCAAAAGTTCATGAAGCATTTCCAAGAAGTCTCAAGAATACGTAACTACTTTCCAGTACAGATTTTTCTTGCAGTCCCTAAAATTGGAAAAGAATAGTCAAATATTATGGCTAGTTGTTTGATAATCTTAACATCTTAAGACATCTTTAGACTGACTCTGCATAAATAGGACTTTTTTTAAAAAAAAATGTCTATATTTTTTAAGAAGAGACTGGACAGTCATTTGTCCGAAATGGTATAGGGTTTCCTGCCTGAGCAGGGGGTTGGACTAGATGACCTCCCAGGTACCTTCCAACTTTATTATTATTATTATTATTATTATTATTATTATTATTATTATTATTATTATTATTATTATTATTATTATTATTATTATTATTATTATTATTATTATTATTATTATTTTGTTATGCTGGAAAAAAGTTTCTCTAGAGTGCATCTCTATATTTGCAAATGTTTTTTTAATTTAATAAGGGTGAACATTTTTGGGATAGGATATGAATTTTAGTTTTAGTAAGTATTTAAACCCTATTTGGTTTATTTTAATCTGTTCCTGAAAAATTTGAAGAAAAGACTGTAAAGTTAAGAAAGTTGCTTTAATGAAAAGCAGAGATGGTTTTGAAGCATATAATCCTAATTATTTTGAATCCTGGCACAGCCACAATGGACATGTATTCTTAAGTCCATTCCGGGCTGAAAAAGACAATTGCCCTTCTTTTAAATGTCTCTTTTGTCATAATTTGGTGTTAGAAGCAGTCCTAACTGCAGAAAACTTACCGTAAATGTGTATACATTGGTCCTAGCAATTGATAAATAAAAACATTGTTTAATCTATAAATTAATCATACTAAAGTTCATAAACTAAATCAAAATGTTGAATTTATTTCTGTTAATAGATCATTCTTATATTTATAATATTTAAGTTTTAGGAAAATCAGTTTTAATTCAAGATAAATCCCTTATTATGAGCTTCAATTTAGAACCACATATCTTCCATCTTCCTTCTTTTTTACTACTACTTCGTGTTTATCAGTTTCTAGTCATAAAGTGTTTAATAGGAAACACCCAGAAAAAATATATAGATGGCTTCTTATCAGTTGGAATGAGAGAAAAAAAGTTCATCAGATACTTAATGCTTTTAAACTAAAACGATGCTTTGTTATTTCTACTTCATGCTGTCCATCATGTTTCTCTCTATATAGAGAAACTTTTGAGTAAGATCTGTATTCACAAGGCCCTTATTTTTTTATTTACTCAACAATTAAACCCACCAAATTCTAAAGGGCATAAATGTAATATTTTATGTTGAAATTCTATGATCATTCTTCAGACTAGCCCCACTGAACTCAATTGAAGTTGCTTCTTAGTAGACATTCATAGAATTGCACTGTACATAATATAATCTAGATTTGTTGATCAACAAATCCTAAATTGATAATACTAGATTACTGTAGATTAAGTATTTAAATTACAATGATTAAATTCTCCAAAATAGATGATGAATTGTGGTTTAATGCATGGATCATTATGTGATTTATTAATGCCCTCTAAGTGTTGAAAATGAACAAATAGCTTTGCTATCACTAACTGATTTAGGTGCATTGTGGGCAGGCATCAAGACAGAAGGTGGATTGACACAAACACAGTCACCTGGTCAGACAGGCTTTCTGAGCTACAGTGCAAGTTTTAGCGCTCCTCAACCAGGACAGGCGCCATACAGTTACCAGATGCAAGGTCTGTATAAATGATTAGAATTCATTTGGTTTTAACATATTGTTTTGATTTATTAAATTCAGGACTTCAATTCATTCAATGAATCAGTTGATGACAGTTGTACATTTATATATTTTGCATTTTGGTCATTCCACATAAGCCCTGACTATGCACACATTGTATAAATTATTATATGAATACAACATAGATATTTATGATGAAAATACCTCTAAAGGAATTGTGGGTTGTAAATATTCTAGCCTCCATCTGAGCAGAAACAGTGACAGTACAGGTTTTTTATTGTCTGGAAATCAGAACATAAACATTTTTATATGTGTTTTTGACTGCTACACTATCTGTACATATATAAATTGTAGGTGGGCAGGGCTTATTGCCAGTTCATTGTTCTTGTGTCTGAACATCTGAATACAATTTGTGAATAAGCATTTTTCATTCAAGCCACCAGTTTTAGTGATTTTGGAATATCAACAGGTTCAAAAATGTTTCTTAAAGTCTACTTCTCCATCACAATAAAATACAATAATGTGGAAAAAATTTCAAGAATATAAATCTAAGTTTGAGACAGTTGTATTCATAAGTATGGGTTTGTTATCTAAAAATTTAAAATAATCTCTCAAATTAACTCGTCAGTACAATCTAGTTAATGTTGGAAGACAGCTTTGGAATTTGTTTCAGTATAAAATATTACTGATTAAATGTTATTAACTTCAATAGTGCTTTTTTTCTAATAAACTGTATATTTTATGCCAGTATTTTTTTAAAAATAGTACTCTTTTGAGATGACAAATGGAAAGAAACATAATCTCTAAATTTAAAGTGGGACAACTTCAACACTTACACAATTGTTATGAAGAACAGAAACTTTAACATATTAATGAGGTCGAGCTTACCTTTTAGAAAACATATACAGAATCCTTAGCTGGAAAGCAAGGTTAATACTTTCTGAAATAATAGTAAATTTGAATGCTGAACATGATGATCAAGTATTAAGGTTAAACTATATATTTTATCTCTGATATACAATTGCTGCTTTAATCTTGTTGGGTACAATGACTTTATCATATAATTATTCTACATTTGCTAAATAACAACATGACTGAGATTAAAAGTGTAGGTACTAATGAATGTGTCGTACTGTTTTTGTTCTTAATATATGAATTTTTTATGCCTTGTGAACGCTAAATACAATTTGAATAACTAGCAAACATTTTCAAAGATATATAACTTTTTATTATTTAAAACATGTCAGCCCACACAACACTGGTGCTTTACAGATCACAAGTCTTTTTTTTTATTGTTTTTTATTATTTTTATCATCTTTCAAACATAGAATGCATTAACATACATACATTTCAATTCTAACATTACACATTTTAGTTATATAACTATTAATGCATACTTATAATACCATCCCAATTATCCCCCTCCCTTTCCCCCCCTTCCCCTCCCTCACTTCCCAGAACTGAACACAGGGTTACCAAGCCATTATAATATCCACAACTTATCTACCATACTCTCTAATTTTAAAATAAACAACATCCTAATTTCTTTAACCCCCTTCATAACATTCATTCTACTAACATAAGAAAATTTTTTATTCATAACCTACATGATAATT